TGGTGAAGATGTCGGCAAGTTGATCCTTTGAGGAGATAAACTTGATCTGTAGTAGCTTCTGTGCAACACGTTCCCTCACAAAATGATAGTCAATCTCAATGTGCTTGGTTCGTGCATGGAACACCGGATTTGTCGACAGAAATGTGGCACCGATGTTGTCACACCAAAGAACCGGAGGATGTGACTGGGAGATTCTCAGCTCTCGGAGCAAGGACTCAATCCAAATAAGCTCAGCAGTCGCATTGGCAACTGCTTTGTACTCAGCCTCTGTACTGCTGCGAGAAACAGTGGCTTGCTTGCGCGCACTCCAGGCGATCAAATTAGGACCCAAAAATACAGCATGTCCCCCCGTGGATCGCCTGTCATCTGGACACCCAGCCAATCAGCATCTGAGAATGCAGAGAGAACCGTAGAGGAACTAGGTCGCAGATGAAGACCATAGAAGACAGTGAGATGCACATAACGAAGAATGCGCTTCACAGCAGACCAATGCACATCTGTAGGAGCATGAAGATACTGACATACCCTGTTAACCGCAAATGAAAGGTCAGGACGGGTGATAGTCAGATACTGCAAGCCACCAACAATACTCCGGTACTCCGTAGCATCCGTAGAAGAAAGAGGAGACCCAGCAGTGGCCGAGAGCTTATCCGTAGAGGACATGCGCGTGGATGACGGCTTACACTTGAGCATACCAGCACGGCGCAAGAGATCAAGGGAGTACTTTTTCTGAGTGAGAGCCAAGCTGCCAGAAGACTGATGTGCAACCTCAATGCCCAGAAAGAAGTGTAGCTGTCCCAAGTCTTTAACCGCAAAATCTCTGCCAAGAGCAGTCACAAGAGCATCAGCAGTCGTGGCAGAAGAACTGACCAGAATGATATCATCCACGTACACAAGCAAATACACAGTCAGACTAGGGCGCTGAAACAAGAACAGTGAACTGTCAGCTATCGACGGAACGAATCCATGAGTACGAAGGGCCAAAGCAAGACGAGCATGCCAGGCACGAGGTGCCTGTTTCAGTCCGTAGAGCGCATTGGTCAGACGACAGAGATGATGAGGCTGATCTGGATCAACAAACCCGGGCGGCTGGCGCATATAAACCTCCTCGTCAAGTAACCCATGGAGAAAAGCATTCTACACATCAAGCTGTCGTAGGGACCAACCACGAGAGACTGCAAGAGACAGGAGAAGCCGGATGGTAGTAGGTTTCACAACCGGGCTGAATGTATTCTCGTAGTCCAAACCCTGACGCTGTTTAAACCCTCGAGCCACAAGACGCGCCTTGTAGGCTCAATAGATCCATCCGCATGTCGCTTGACCTTGAAAACCCACTTCGGGTCAATGATGTTGACACGAGGCGGAGGGGGAACCAATGTCCATGTCTCATTATGCATAAGAGCGTGATACTCTTGCTCCATAGCAGCCCTCCAGTGTGGAATACTCATCGCAGCCTCATAGTTGTGTGGTTCAGCAGTGGGATCTGCAACAGAATGAGCAAGACAAGCAGCCAAATATGTGACAGTACCATCATGACGCTGCTTGGGTTGAAAAATACCACTGCAACTGCGAGTATGCGGACGTTGCGGTGCAACAGGAACCAGAGCCGGTGGCGCCAACACTGGAGACGATGACGGCATGTCAGGCGACGGGGGCCCAGGTGAGGGCTCCGGTGAGTCGATGCAAGGCCCAGCCGACCCAAGTGAGAGGGGCGGCAGGGACAGACGGGTGGATGACGAAGGCGATGACGGAGGCGAGGCCGGTCGTGGAGACGGTGACTGGGACCGCTCGGGCCGTCCATGGGAGACCGTCGGGGACGTGGGCCGCGCCTCAGCTGGCACCGGCCCAGGCACGGAGGCCGTCGCTGGTCCAGGTGCAGAGGCCGGCACGGCTCCAGAGACGGGGTCGACGACAGGAGTCGTGGCAGGCACGTGCAACGGCCGATCAACATGCGTCACAGGAGTGTCATCCGGAAGTAGTTCCAGGCGAGCACCACGTCCAACACCTGCACCATGGTTAGGTAACAAAACAGGCGAATATGCAACATCTTCAAATTGGCCAAGCATAATAGGAGATGAATGCATAGATGAAGGTGTGTCGGGTTGCTGTGGCATGGAAGAAAATGGGAAGACGTTCTCATCAAAGACAACATCACGGGATATGTAGACACGGTTAGTTGGCACATGGAGGCACTTGTAGCCTTTATGAAGAGAACTATAACCAAGGAACACTCATTTCTTAGACCGAAATTCAAGCTTTCTATGATTATATGGACGAAGGTGGGGCCAACAGGCACACCCAAACACCTTAAAAAAGGTATAGTTCGGAGTTTCACCTAGAAGGAACTCAATAGGAGTTTTCATATTAAGGACACGTGTAGGTAGTCTGTTAATAAGAAAACATGCAGTAGCAAAGGCATCACTCCAAAAACGAAAAGGTACAGAAGCGCGAGCCAGGAGTGTGAGTCCGGTCTCGACTACATGTCGATGCTTGCGCTCAACAGCGCCGTTCTGCTGATGTGTATGAGGACATGATAAACGATGAGAGATCCCAAGCTTATTAAAGAAAGTGTTGAGGTTGCGATATTCGCCCCCCCAATCGGATTGAACATGGATAATTTTATGCTTGAGAAGACGTTCTACATGCACTTGAAACTGAATGAAGATATCAAACACATCAGATTTGCGTTTAAGAAGATAAAGCCAGGTAAAACGACTGTATGCATCAATAAAGCTGACATAATAGTTGTGACCACTCACAGACGTCTGAGCGGGACCCCACACATCAGAAAACACAAGTTCAAGAGGACTCGATACTACACGAGTAGAGGAAACAAATGGTAACTGATGACTTTTGCCTTGTTGACAGGCATCACACACGGACATCTCCTTATTGCTAGACACGATAGGCAGCTCATGGCGGTGGAGGATATGGCGAACTATGGGGGTGGCAGGATGACCAAGGCGAGAATGCCACTAAGATGGCGACGCACGAACACCACTGAAGACGCGCAGGGCGGATGGATCCTCCAAGCGGTATAAACCTTGGCTCAGGCGACCACTAAGCAGAATTTCCCGGGTGGCTCGGTCCTTAACAAAAAGATCAAACGGGTGAAATTCACATAGGACATTGTTATCAAGAGTGAGCTTGGGAACAGATAACAAATTAAGAGTCACCGAGGGGACCCGTAAAATATTGCGAAGATGAAGCTGCCTAGATGGATGACTAGTTAAAAGAGATGCTTGACCAATGTGAGAGATGGGCATACCTACACCGTTGGCGGTGTGAACCTTGTCAGGACCGTAGTATGCCTGGTGAGTGGACAGCTTGGCGAGCTCGTTCGTCATATGATTCGTGGCGCCGGTGTCCATGTACCATGCAGGATCAATCGGGTACGATGGTGTAAAACCTTGGTCGACGCGTGTATCCTTGCCCTTGGCGGCAACATGAGCAGCAGGAGGACCAAAATCCGCCATGGCAAATTGACGCTCATTACCTTTTCCATCATTAGCGATCCCCAGAAAGCTCCGCTGAAATCGTTTGTGACACTTGGAGGCGAGGTGCCTCTCACGACCACAAAGTTGGCACCGCACGGGACCCCCGCCCGAGGTTGGCGCAGGAGGGTTGGCGACCCGGACAGGCGTAGAGGGCGCAGGTGGGCGCTGGCCACGTGAAGCCCAGAAAGCCGCCGGCTGGTCGGCGATGGTGGTGACGGAGCGGCGAGCTTCGATGCGCTGCTCGGTGAAGAGCAGATGGGAGAAGAGCTCGTGTGGAGGAAGCGGCGGCTTGGCATTGTGGACGGCCTCAGCAAGGTTGTCGTAGTCAGCATCGAGACCCTTGATGACGTAGCCGGCGAACTCCTCGTCGCTGAGCGGTCGACCAATAGAGGTCAACGTGTCCGCTAAGACCTTGATCTTGTTGAAGTATGTTGTGGCAGAGGAGTCCAGTTTCTTGATGTCATCAAGCTTGCTGCGAAGAGCCATCGAGTGGGCAGTGGAGGTCTGGGCAAACGCATGCTCCAGAGTCGTCCACGCATCCAAAGAGGAGGCAGCAAAGAGGCAAAGGCCAGCGACACCGTCCCCGAGAGAACCCTGGATGGCGGAGAGGATCGCTTGGTCTTGCTGCACCCACACACGGTGTGCCGGGTTGATGGCCGGGCCGTGGACGGTGGGAATAACCTGCGGCGGACACAGCAGGGAACCATCGACATAGCCAAGGAGGGAGCGGCTGCGGAGCAGCGGTAGAACCTTGGCGCGCCAAAATAGGTAGTTATCCGGCGTGAGACGAGTGGTGATCAGATTGTCGAAGTGAAACGGCCCTGGGATCATGGCGGCGTCGGTGGTAGGAGCCGCAGGCACCACAGGGGCGGCGGGTGCCACACCCGCGAGCGACGCATCAGAGGCCCCCGAGGCCGTCGGCAGTAGGGCGAGTGGCGGAGACGAGCCAGCAAAAGCCGCGGGAGGCGCCGTCATCGCGGCGGTGGAGACCTGCAGCGTCGATGTCGCGGGAGATGGCGGGATCGGGGCGGAGAGCATCGAGCCAACGGCGGTAGTACTTGGGGCCGTGGCGATGATCCGGCGTGGGCGGGGAGGTTGAGAAGGGCGGCCAGCGACGCGGGGATGGACCCGGAGCTGGCGGAACCGGAGGCGGAAGCGGTCATGGCAGCGGCGGCGACGGCGGCCCGAGAGTTGAGGGCACGGCGGCGGCGGTGGCTGATGTAGGGTAGGACCTAAGGTTAGGCTGATACCATGTAAAACAAAAGGATTTGTGGGAACTGGCTCGACCCTCTAAGGATGGCCTGTCATATGTATTTATAATGATACACAATTACATATTACACAGTTGGGCTTTTGTATCTAACACGAGCCAAGACGACGACTGACTTGGCGACCCCGACCGTGGACGGGCTGTGAACTGGACTATATCCAACAGAACCGTGCAGTGCCGATGTGCAGTGCGCACACCACTATTGTCTGCCCAGCGCCCACCAACTACCCACCATGCATCCTCCTCCAAAGCCGCTGCTCCTCCTCGCGGTGCTGCTCGCCGCCTCACCGCATGCGCTGGCGGAGCAGCCACCGGCGGCAGCCGCCTGCCCGCCGCAGGAGCGGGACGCGCTGCTGGCCTTCAAGCAAGGGATCACCATCAGCAGCGACGCCGCCGGCCTCCTCGCCTCATGGCGCGAAGACGACTGCTGCCGGTGGAGGGGCGTCCGGTGCAGCAACCGGACCGGCCATGTCGTCGCGCTCAACCTTCGAGGCCAGGGACTAGCCGGCGAGATAAGTCCATCCTTGCTCTCCCTGCCGCACCTGGAGCATCTTGATCTCAGCTCCAACCGCCTCGTGGGCCCGGCTGGCAGTATTCCCGAATTTCTGGGTTCCATGGGAAACCTGAGATATCTCGACCTATCCGGAGCGCCGTATTCTGGGGAAGCGCCGTTTTCTGGCCAAGTGCCTCCCCACCTTGGCAACCTCTCCAAGCTGCAACATCTTGACCTCTCAAGCAATAGAAATGTGTCCTCCAACGATCTTTCCTGGTTAACACGTCTGCCATTCCTAAGGTTTCTCGGCCTGAATTTCGTGGACCTGAGTATGGCGGCTGATTGGGCTCATGCGGTGAACGCCCTTCCTTTGAGGTCCCTTCATCTTGAAGATTGCTCGCTCACAAGTGCGAACCAATCACTCCCACACTCAAACCTTACCACGACTCTTGAGGTGCTCGACCTTGCTCTCAACAACTTTGACCAGCCAGTCGCGTCTTGTTGGTTCTGGAACCTAACAAGACTCAAGCGGCTCTACCTTGAAGTTAACAACGGCGCCCTGTATGGTCCGCTTCCTGATGCATTGGGGGGTATGGTACGCTTGCAAGAACTATCCTTCGGAGAGAGTGGCAGCCACATGATGAGCATGGGCTCGGCAGACTTGAAGAACCTATGCAACTTGAAGTTCCTAGACCTTGACTTTTGTTTCTCAAATGGATTTGAAGCGGAGAGGCTCCCGCAATGTTCCTCGGACAAATTGCAGGAATTGCACCTGATGGGAAACCAATTGACAGGAACTCTAGCGGATTGGATGGGACACCGCACCAGCTTAGTCATTCTTGATCTCAGTTCAAACAACATTACTGGGCCTATACCGGAATCTATAGGGCGGTTTACAGATTTGAGGGTTCTAGACCTTTGGAACAACAACCTGACTGGACATGTGCCACCTGCAATCGGTACTCTCACTAATTTGGCTAGCTTGGTTCTTGGTCAGAATCACTTGGATGGTCTGATTACAGAAGGACACTTTCATGGTCTAAAAAGCTTAGAGCAAATATATTTATCTGACAATCAACTGGAGATTGTGGTGGGTTCAGAATGGGTTCCTCCCTTCAGACTGCAAGAGGCCAGTTTTGCATCTTGCCAGATAGGTCATCTGTTTCCTGCATGGCTTAAGTGGCAAGTGGGTCTTACTCGCCTTGACATCTCAAGCACAGGAATAACAGATAGGTTTCCAGATTGGTTCTCCAGTTCCTTCTCAAAGATCACATACTTGGATATCTCCAATAACCGAATAAGTGGTGCCTTGCCAAAAAATATGGGTAACATGTCATTGGTATCACTATATTCTAGTTCGAACAATATATCTGGTAGAATACCTCAATTGCCCAGAAATCTAGAGATATTGGACATATCAAGAAACTCTTTATCAGGACCCCTGCCATCAGATTTTGGGGCTCCAAAACTAAGTACAATAAGTCTATTCTCCAATTACATCACAGGTCAAATTCCAGTGTTTGTATGCGAACTGTACTTGTATTCCTTGGATTTAGCCAACAATATTCTCGAAGGAGAACTTCCTCAATGTTTCAGCACAAAACACATGACATTTCTATTGCTAAGTAACAATAGTTTCTCTGGCAATTTTCCACCGTTTCTAGAAAACTGCACAGCGCTATCCTTTTTGGATCTGGCAAGGAACAGATTCTCTGGAACATTGCCAATGTGGATTGGGAACTTGGGGAAACTACAGTTTCTACGGCTGAGCAACAACATGTTCCACGGGCATATTCCGGATAATATCACAAGTCTCAGCAAACTTTATCATTTGAATCTGGCGGCCAATGGGATATCAGGTTCCATACCTCATCATCTATCAAATCTAACAATGATGACAACACCATATGTACACGTTCCTGGCACCGTCGTTGCAGATTTCCAAATTATGGTTGGTGATATGCCAGTAGTCTTCAAGAGGCAAGAACTTAAATACAGAGGTGTTGGTGTTTTGGAGATATTGAGCATTGACTTCTCTTGCAACTATTTAACCGGTAAAATTCCAGAGGAAATAACGTCTCTTGGTGGATTGATAAACCTGAACTTGTCATGGAATCAACTGAATGGAGGGTTACCTAAGAAGATTGGGGACATGCAGACGTTGGAGTCACTTGACTTCTCGAACAATGATATTTCAGGAGAAATTCCGTCAAGCTTGTCGAATCTAACATACTTGAGCATTCTGGACCTGTCATATAATCATCTAGCAGGAATAATACCATCAGGAGTTCAACTTGACACTCTTTACACGGAGTATCCATCCATATACAATGGCAACCCTGGCCTTTGTGGTCCCATCCTTCATAAAAGTTGCTCAGTCAACAATAATGCACCACAGCCTGACCATCAACAGAGTGGAAAAGTTTCGGAGTCGACATTGTTCTTTTACTTTGGACTTGGGTCAGGGTTTATGGCTGGCCTCTGGGTTGTGTTTTGTGCTCTGCTCTTCAAGAAAGCATGGAGGATTGCTTATTTCTGCTTCTTTGACAAGGTGCATGACAAAGCCTATGTGTTCATAGTTGTCACTTGGGGCAGGTTTGCCAGGAAAAGGTAACTACAATTCAAGTGCTAAATTAAATCAGCTTACGACATGTACGAATAAATGAAACTGAATAGCATGTATTTAGAGACTTGTGCTAGTATATATCTTCTCATTTTCCGTAAACTTGCAATAATGAATGTTGCATGATGCATGATGCAACCTTACTTGTGAGCCATGATGAACCGTGGTGATTTTGGAGCATAGATGCAGCTAATACTAAAAAAGGCATCAGGCATGCTGGAAAAAACGCATCATGAAGTTGCTGCTTACACACAACCAATACAAGTGATCTTGTATAGAGAGAGACTCATTTCAGAAACCCTAAAAGCTTTTCTTCCCCATTGCATTAGCTTAAACTTTGAAAATGTCATTCCAGTACTGAGCCTTTTCAAAAGTTCAGAAGATATGTGCAGCACATATTTTTCCTCTGAAAAAATCTTATTGTCCAAGATAAATGCTACAACACGTAAAGTATAACGCTTAGTGAGGGATGACCGAAGAGCACAAAACATATCTGAAGAATAGAATAACATATCTGAGGGGGGACTGAACAACACAAAACATATCGGAAGAAATAATATACAGAAACAAACAAGGGAAGAACGACATCACAAGACAAAAAGACTGAAAAAGGCAAGAAGAGAAATGATAAGGCAAGAAGACAGAACAAAGAAACCTAGAACTGACCCCAACTCAATTGAAAATTTACAGCAACAACTTCTTCAACACAATATGGCAGTTCATTCTTGAATTACCTCTTTGGTGCCCATCACAAATAGAATGTTGTTTCCCATCCCCTCCTGCTAATGGGTTCGCTAGACAAATGCCCCACCTAACTAGTTCTAGTTTTCTGAACTTGGCCAGCTACAAAATGGACTAACAAAATGTTGGTTACTAATTGGTTGTGCTGCCGAGCTACGGTGGCCGGTGGGTATGTAGAAACGGAAAAAATGCCGAGGGGCAAGACTGAAAAATGACTAAATACGAGAGGTATAACAACACTCCCTAAGCTGATATACCCCTCGGCGCCTTGATCTGAGAAATCAAAACTAAAGGGTAGATGAATGAATGACAAGACTGAAAAATGAATCACTTAAAGAGTGATGCAAACATAAGGACTGAAGAACAAACGAATGATTAGCTTTGGACTGAATACTAAAGACACAACAAAATGGGAGAAGTAAACTGAAGATGACCAGGAGTTCTTCATTTTGGACATTGCAACTAAATGAATAAATCAATTGCCTGTCTCTCAAGTTCAGGCTCATGTTCATTTTGGAGACTGAATAACAAAATGAGAAAATGAAGAAATAAGAGGGAGTGATTTGACTGATATAATGAGAACCTGAAAACTGTAAATATGCAAAAGTAAATGATGAATTGATAAATTGATGACTGACAAAGATGATAGCAGGACTGAACCTAGACAAATAGCTTCCGAAAATATAGAATATAAATAACGAAACTCTGAACACTGCTAAATAATAAAACAAAACTGAGGTGATCACGCAACTGGATGCCGAGTCACTGATAACTGAATTTAGCATTCCAGTTGCTACTTCTACTACTTGTACATGTTCACCGTCGAGAACTGCATTTAGTATGGCCAAAAAGATACTGAGCATTCCTACTCGTACATGTGCATGGTTGAAAAGATATTAACAGAAAAAATGGTCCAGATGCTTGGTTGAATGTTACGACTGAACGAGTTTTCCACTAAGCTACTTGTGCATGTGCAAATTTGGAACAAAGCTCAATCGAAAGTTGTGCATGCACAGAATTCTAAACCGTAATTAAAAAGAATGGCAATTGTTACTCATAACTGAACCTGAACCTGAACTACTAGTAATAACTAACCACTGAACACTTGACAATAATGACACTCACAGTGTTTTGACCTTGATATACTAAAACAATGTACTGAACAAATCGAAACAAGATTAGTTATTCACATTCGGATGTACCTGGTTTCCCCCATCAGATCAGTGACGAACTTCTGGAATAAAACCAAACGGTGGACTCCCATGGAACCGAAATAGCATCGACTGAATCATACACCGGGCCAGGACCGTCGAGAAATCGATTTTGCAGGTAGAAATCGACTGAATCATAGCGACGCACAGAGAGGTAGCTGCAAAATCAGCGCGACGCATAAAACCGGTGACGACCGAGAAGAAGAAGACAAGGGGCTGAGAGCAGGGGGGAGGGGAGAAGCTCGCCGTACAGGTCTCGCAGCCAGCGACGACCTGGGGTTTCTCGCCCTCGCGGACCACCGCTCGCTGGTGGCGCGCCCGATGGGACAGCCCCGTTGGCGTCCTCTCCATCTCCTTCCTCCCGCTACTTGCCGACTCCACAGCCTCCCCCGTCCCTTGTCCCTCAGGCTGCTCGCCGGCAGCCTCCTCGCCGCCAACCCGCCTCCTGACGCTGCGGTGGCACAAGGATGAACTGACACAGAATGCCTAGTAGAACAGAAAATTCAGGAAAACGATCGACACCCGTAGCAAAAACACGGGTCGGGTTCACAGCCCGGTAAAGAGAAAGCACAACCGAAAAGCCCACCACCAATCCGGCGGGCAATCCCAAACGTCCGCATTAACATCCGTAACAGAGATCAGACGATCCAGAATTTAACTTAGAACATAGTGAAAATCAGTCGGCTGATTTTTAGTAAATACATGTATATATAATAAGGCCTATTTAGTAGTAGGAAGGAGGGATGTCACATGTGTCCATTCTATATACAGTGCACACTCACCTTTTTATTTTCATGAATATTTTTTTAAATGTCATGAACATAATATTCAAACGCACGAATATTTGTAAATGTCACGAACAATTTTTTGAATGTTAAAATTTATTTTACACATCATGTGAACATTTTTTACATTTCATGAACATTTTTTTAAAATATTGTGAAGATTTTTGAAAGTCATGAATGTGTGAACATTTTCTTAAAAGTTACGAATATGATTTTGAATGGTGTGATTTTTTTAATACTAGTAAATGGCACGTGCCATGCACGTGTAGATGTAGTTATTACTACACATACATGTGGGTAATTTTAAGTAGTATCATATTTCACAAAAAAAGTTACTACCTCCGTTTTAGTTTATAAGTCCTACGCGTACACCTAGGTTACCAATTTGATCACCCTAATATAAACTATATCACACAAAAATTATATCATTTAAAAATAGAATATTTGAAGTTTATATTGGTATATTTTTTGTAATATATGATTTGTATTAGGTTGATCAAATTGACGACCTAGGGATACACGCATGCCCTGTAAACTGAGAGAGAGGGAGTAAATAGTATCATGATTTGACTAAATAATTATTAATTATAAAATTTTGCATGATTTAATAAATATATCCGTGAAATACCGAATTTACACAATATAGAATACCATGAGAAAAAGTATACCAGGTTCGTCCTCAAATGTTTGTCTTAATAAAGTTTAAGTTTAACTTCAGTTCAGAACTGTGATACTTATTAAGGATCGGAGGAAATATTAGATTAAGCAACAGAGAGAATGGGTTTGCAAGTTATTTATCATTAGAAATAAAATAGTAATTTAAACATTAATTGTGTCTGTTTACAAATCAGAGTTTTCACATAATTGTTGATAAAAACTAAGAAAACAAGGGTAATAAATATTTGTAAAATAAATTTATAAGAGAAAGTAAAAGCTATTTAGCTGTACATATATTACATTTTCACTTTGTTCGTCACTGTTTAATTTGTTTCAGCTTGTGTGCCTTTACCCAGGCTACACCATCACATGCTTTCTCTCTCTCATCATGATGCGTACTTGCTAGTTGCTACTGCTAGTACTCCTCGCGCCACTCTACTCTACTTCTGCATGCATCACCGGAGTTTGCTGGAAATTTCTGGATAGTGGCTTGGCTATAAAGAACGCAAGGAGAATCACATGCATGCACACCCTAGAGAGTACTACTACATCTGAGAGTGGCAGACTGGCAGCACGGGGAAATGGCGCAGCGAATCCCTACAATGTAGGCCATCAGATTAACATATCCAACGGTTTATATGCAGCCACGTATACCAGTAACACAAGCCATTAAATTTGAGCCGTCCGATTAGGAAGATCCAACGGTTCATATGACTTGCTACTCGTACACTATATAGGAGTATATATATTTTATGAACGTTTTTAATGCATACTGAACAATACTAAAAAAAGTAATGTAAAACAAATTGGAATACAAAAGGTAGAGAAGGGGAAATGAAAAAGGAAGCAAAGGAACGAAGAAACTAGCAAGATTTTTTCTGCAGTAAGCGAGACCTAGATGCCCCCCTAATCCAATCCAGGAGATTTTCCAACCAACCCAAGCGACTGCACGGGCCAAAGAAACATTTTTGGAATTTGTTTTATGTGTTGACTAACTAGCAGTCAGTTGGTCCCTTGAAACATCAGAGGGATTCAACTTAACTGTTTTACTAAAGAATTGAAGAGAAACAACCTTCTTCGATTGTCCTGGGCGGCGATCATTGACCAAGACTTACGACTGCCATGTAGGGATGAGGATCGAGGCAAAAACATAAAATATCTAGCAGCCAGTTGACTCCGGAACTTACTAGCAACCAGACAAACAGAATCATGATAATCCACTTGACATCCTACTGGCGACAGTATCGCAACATCTACATTTTATGCAAATGCACCAAGTCAAATTAGGAGGCCACTTGTTATCCCTATGTTATAATCAAACGATTTTTTCTTACAATTTATTAAACCTTGCAAGATTCAAGCGGGCATGATACTGCAACTTCATGCTTTATGAATTTGCATACATGGTTTTTGTGATAAATAAAAATAATTTATTTTTTAGAACCAATGACTGGTTTGCTGATTATGGTAAGAGGATCATTTGCTCGTTTAACTGATCAATCATGAATTAAACCTATGTTTGAAGACGCCTGTGGCGACCTCTTCAATCTTAAAATACGGTACTACTTTGCCAGGGCCGGTCCTGAGGTTTTGGGGGCCCGGGGCGAAACTACAATCCCGGGCCTTTCGGGGCCTTTAATATAAATGTCTAATTGATAATCATCATATGTGGATATAATTTGTATCAAAGAAAATAATTAAGTGCGTCCAAAATGATTGTGCATATCACATAATGTATTACATATTACCTTCAAAAAAAAATCTCCTATCATTATGAGATGCAAAATCGCTAATAATAATATTAGTATCAATTTTGTCAAGCAATTTTTTTTCTCAATGCATAAAGTTGCATGGCCATCTTTTTTTGCGGAAAGTTGCATGGCCATTTAACCTCTCTTGCAACATTGTAGATCTCAGGTAGTTCTTCAACAATCTCAACTTTGAATAAATTTCTTTCAGCCGATGCAACAGGCATAGTAAAGAAAAATCCGATATGCAATAGAAAATAAACATGGGCTCATGATCACTCACAGTGCTATCATCCATGTTGAAGTCAACATTGCTTTTTATAGGATTATGACCATCATCTTCCTAATTGCCATTAGTTTTGGTCACCCGCAAGAACTATCGCCAACTCGTCTGGATTTCTTGGAGTGCTTGCATCGCTCTTATAATATTTAAAAGGATATCCTCTCAATTCTTCTATCTCCTCATCTGCATCCTTCTTCCTTTCTTTCTACCCGAACTCGACATGACCCCTGCTAAAATTAAAAGGAACAAATTAGCGCAAAGCTAATTAAAATATTAGATTTAGTATAGAAGATCATCTAATGTATTGAATCTGCTAGGGCGTAATATAGTACCTTCTCTCTGTAATCTAATCTGACTACATGTGCGCAATGATTCAAACGCCCTAACAACAATTCCCTGTTAACCTGTTCAATCGATTGATAAGTTGGGAATCAGGATAAGAAAGAAAAAAAACAGGAAGAAGAACATGCGAGGGAAGAGGGCGCGACCAGACGTACCTGCCGCAGCCGTTGCGTCATTCGTGAGGAGGCAGAGTCGAAGAGGGTTAGATGAACAGGAACAGCGGAGCAGCAAAAAGGGCAGAGAACGACCGATCCGAAGTTAAGGAAATACTCCCTCTGTACCAAAATAGTTGTCGCTGGAGTAGCTGAACTTCAACTACTCCAACGACAACTATTTCGATACAGAGGGAGTAGTGATTAGTGAATCCAAGATTCCTTTTTCTCTCCGGTCTCCACGTACGTGCAAACATGGGCCAGGCCCACCATATATTTTTTAGTTCCCTAGACTAGCACACCAGAGGCTGAGCGAGACGCTGCGATTGGCTTCAATTGTTTTTTTCATTGGAAGACTTGTATGCTTGTACTCCCTCCGTCCCAAAATTCTTGTCTTAGATTCGTCTAGATACGGATGTATCTAATACTAAAGCGTGACTTGATACATTCGTTTTTAGACAAATCTAAGACAAGAATTTTGGGACGGAGGGAGTACGTACTAACGTACATATACCTGGGAGGGGGCCCTTGACTTTCGGGGGCCCGGGGCGGCCGCCCCGTTCGCCCTACCCCAGGATCGGCCCTGTACTTTGCTATCGCCACCCTTGAGTATTTAGACTTGCAAGGTGATCCTTGTTGATTCATACGAGATCCCATGTGCTACATGCTACTCGGGTCAGAGTGTAAGTGATGCTTTCGGCTACTAGACTTTAGCCATCTAGGGTGCGGTACTCGATCATTTCGTTTGACAACACACTGTTTGTATTGTTCTTACACAACCTCGTTTTCAAGGTTTAGGCCCCTCCTATTCTCTCACCGTTACTACATGATTACACGAATAACTTTTGCTTTGTTTTCCTCCACGATTCCGGTCTTCGATAGACGACGTGTGCAAGTGGTGGCATACATGACACATCTATATGTACCTGGTCTTTTCTTTTCTTTTTGGTCCAAATTGCGCCAAAATAGCATTATATGTACTCCATACATGAAACACATCTCTTTTCATTTGAGAAACATGAAAACGGTCTCTTTTTTTAGAACAATGGAAATGTTTTTTCAGAACACATGAAAAATGGTCTCTCAACTTTTGTTTGGAGAAAAACAACCTTTTTTAAGAAAATAGGGCAATAACAACCTTTTTTTTAACTTGGACAAAAACAACCTTTTTAATGGAAAAATGGTCTCTCAACCTTAAAACCGTTCAGTTTTTTTTTTTTTTGGGAATCGTTCAGGCTAACTCTTAGGGCTACCATTCGGGCTAGATGGTACACAATTGAGCATACAATTTGGCCCATCTAAGCCCAACCGAAGCCAGTGTACCTGTCAGCACGTCAGCTCCTGGGTCCCACCTTCCAGCCACCGACCACAGCTCCGCGAGAAAGGAACCCCCTCAGCCATCGACGCTGGCGCCGCACGAATCTTACAGCCACGCGGCTCCCCCTTCTGCTCGCCCTTGCCCTGCCCTCGCCGCCGCCACCGTCTCGCGCTCCGCGACCACACTTTTCTCATGGCGGCGACGGCCGCGGCGGAGGCAGACGGCGGTGGCGCCGTCACCACGCGTCTATTCGTAGGCGGGCTGGCGGAGGGCGTGTCCGCGGCCGACCTGGAGGCCGTGTTCGGCTCCATCGGCCGCGTCGCCGGCGTCGAGTTCGTGCGCACCAGCGGCCGCAGCTTCGCCTACGTCGACTTCCAATGCCCCTCCCACAAGGCCCTGGCCAAGCTCTTCTCCACCGTAAGCATCCGCCGCCCCATCCAACCATCTCCTTGTTAGTAGTAGCAGATTGGGGTTTGTTAATTCTATCCGTTCGCGCTAATGAGCGCCTTTGGTGGAGATAAACGAGATTTTGGCCTTCCTATTGCTGTTTGATATCTCGCTTTGCGGTTGCGCAGAGGATTTCTGATAGGATGTCAATTTGCGTGTAGTACAATGGGTGCAAATGGAAAGGAGGGAAGCTAAAACTGGAGAAGGCCAAGGAGCACTACCTCGTTCGACTGAAGCGAGAATGGGAGCAGGAGGCGGCGGCGGCAGCGGCAGCGGCAGCTGCTCAAGAAATGCCTGCGGAAGATAGTGTGGACAAGCAGGAGGAGAAGGAGAAGCGGAAGCTGGAGAAGGATGCTCTGGAAAGTTCAAAGCTTAACATCTACTTCCCGAGATTGAGGAAGGTGAGTTGTCTCTCTGTGTTGCATAATTCTTTGGTCCGACTGTTTTAATGAATTTTCCAAATCGCGCGTTCTGTAGTTTTTTTAGTCTGTGCAAATAGGTGTGACCATGCAAGTAATAGTATGCCATTCCTCCTGATGATTAATAGCATGTTCTTGGAATTGCTTCATTGTACTTTTTTTTTGATAAGCATGAACTGATGCTCGAATCATGTTCATTTTGTATTGGAATATGAGACAAACTTAGCAGGTGTAAATTGTAAGATTAGGTTTTGAATGAGAAATAGCAATTCAGTATGAAATTGTGTGTAGATAAATATCTTGTTGAGACTGGTTGCAACAGAAACAGCAAGGGTAAAAGAGTAGTCTGTCATGCAGTATATCGATCAAAATAGCAGCTGTGCATTTCCTACCGAAATGATCATCTAATATGTCAGTTATTTCCTTAACATGCATTCTCCTAACCAATGATCTGTTTTACAGCTGAAACCTTTGCCTTTTAAAGGCAGTGGAAAGCACAAATACAGTTTCAGAAATATTGAAGTCCCTTCTTACCCAATTCATTTCTGCGACTGTGAGGAGCACTGTGGACCTCCTGAGAAAGCTAATGAAGAATATGCTGCTGTTCTTAATCGTGTTGCATATGAGAAGGAGCGAAACATCATGAATTCTGTGATGAGTAAGCTCTTTGAGAAGGACACTGAGCAAATCGATTCGTCGGAAGTGCAGAAACAAGATGTTGTTAACATCATGGAACCGTCTGATGCTGAGACAGAACCCTCTAATGCTGAGACAGAGCCCTCTGATACGGAGACAGAACCCTCTGATTCCGACAACAATTTGCCAATGGAAGAAACAACAGAAACTCCTGAAGAAGATTTGGATGACCTCCAAATGGAAGAAACAGATGATCCTTCTGAAGAAGAATTGGATGATGATGACCTTGTGATCAACATTGCTCCTCGCAAGGCCAACAACTCAGCTGCCCAGTTAAATAGGGCAAACCAAGCAGTGAATAAGGTATGCGTATTGCAGTTACTTGCCTGAATAATTATCCTGTGATGCACAATTTTTTCATTCAATTATGTGCAATAACACTCCTAATTAATTTCTAAATATTAGGACGAGCGGTTCAGGAAACGTCAGCATTTTGATGAGATTTCTCCACAAAAGAAGAGACAGAAATCAGAGGATTTATCTGAACCTAGAAACAAGAAGCAGTCTACTTCAATGAATGCAGACAGGAGGACTACAGGGAAGTCTTTGCCATCTGTGGCAGTAGCCATCCAAAATGAACAAAAATCCTCTGTTTTGTCAGGAAAAGGAACGCATGGTTTCTCTTCTGTACTTGATAGAGCTAAAAGTTCTGCTGGTCTTCAAGGTGTTGATGCTCTAACAGGTCGTTCCACCAAAAACGAAGGTTCACAAAATGAGCTTCCTACTACTGAACCAAAAAGGGGTTCTGTGTGGACTCAGAAGTCTGCCTGGAGAGATCTTGTAGGAGGCATGGGGGCTACGTCTTTCAGTATATCGCAGATATTGCCGAACATCAACCCAGCACCACCAAAACTTGAACCTGCTACCGAGACCTCTGTCGCGCGCACCGAATCCAGGAGGGAAGTGACCTCATTAGGTATGACATCTCTGGGATCCCCAGAGGCTATAACTCAGCCCTCGGCTGAGCAGAACTCGCCGAGTTCCACGGGAACGCCATCTGCTGGAACAACAGTTGGTTCAGCTGGTCATGAAACCCGAGGATGCGACGTGAGCAACAAGGTAGAAGAACCGCGCGTGGTCCCAAAGATTACAATCAGTGAAGTCTGCCCGTTCATGAGAAACGAAGAGTCAATTCAGCAATGGTCGAAGGCAAAGAAGGTTCTAACCGGGTTCATCAAGAGGGGCGACGAGAAGAAAACCGGATCCAGCAACTCCAGGAGAGGAAAGCCACAGTCACGGAGAGGATAACCGGGTGTTCTTGGGGTCACATCTTGCCGAGCTACCTCGTACCATCACCAAAGGTTACCAAACGAACAATCACGCTTCGGTCCGAAGCTTGACTCCTGCAAATTCTGAGTCTTGCAAATTTTGTTTTACATTCTCAACTAAGTTTTCTAGCCTCTCGAGGACATGTATCAACTGTGGCTCCTTGTAGCATTATTGATCCGAGGAACGCTCCGATGTATCTGCAGTGTTACGTGAGACCTCAGTAAATCACTGTATCTTGTCTCTTGAATGATCATCTCCATTTTCTTATCTTGCAATATGTTTAATCTCCTAGTGTTGTTCCAACTCTTGCATGTTTCCCCCTTAATACCGGGGGCTCCTTTCCAAAAAAAAAAAAACTGGCCCTACTACTGCTGTGTTCTTCCACTCATGGTTATACGGAGGGTCGCGAGGAGGAAGATGCCGACCGTCGGATCTACGGCTGAAAAATCAACCGATTGAAAATATTCAGGCTATGAATGAATAGGCGCCCCCCTTAAAACTGACGTTCTCTCTCTAGACTCTCCCAGTTCTCTAGACGCTCTCTCTCTCTCTCTATCTCTCTCTTCCAGACCACGACCTAAAAGGAACCTGAGAGAGACAGAGGTGGATTTTGGTGGGGGCGAGGTGGTGCCGTACCCGTCTCTAACCTAACCTGGCCATGCACGCATCTCGCCTCTCGTCCTCCTCCTCGTCATGATTCCTTCATGGATGACGGGCGCCCTAACTAGGATCAGGTTTTAGGAGGAGATATAATATAAAAACGCATTTCGCAGGAGATCAGGTAATATAATATTTAATTTCTCCCGATCATCTCCCTCTTCTTCTTCTTCCGATTCATTATCCATGAGGATTACGTCTCCGCATCCGGCTTTCACCCGTGGATCAGGACGATGACGTCGACGGCGGCGGCCGGCTCCGACTCCCGGCGGCTCTTGCCCGGCCGTCAGAACTCCCATCAGGTTCGTTCTCTCGTCCCTCTCCTTTCCTGTTCTGCATTCCACCCAAATCAAACCGATAATTAATTGAAAGATTGCAATAATTAACATGGCAATCGGGTGGGAATGATCAATTAATATTAACCAACTAATTGCCATATATTTACTGGTCTCTATTGATTCACAGATGGACAGGATCAATGGAAATGGCCAGAAGTCTGCCATTCAAGTGAGTGATCACAACAGTTTTCACCTTGCTGTCTAGCGCATTCATCATACATTCCTCATTTGCAAACTGCAGTATGGTTTTTTTATCTTTTTTAATTTGGTGTCTCCATACTTATTCACTGGATTTGCTCTCGTTGATTTTCCTATAGAGCAGGCCTCGACATTCTCCGATGGAGCAGACGAATTCGACGACGACACGCTTATAGCCTCGGAAGGGCTGTCTCGCAGAACCGGCGGCTTTGAGAGAAATGCAGGCCCTGGGAATTTGGGGATGTTTGGTAGCCTGAAGTTTGTGCTGTTCAAGTCAAAGCTCAACCTGTTGATACCGTGTGGCTTTGTGGCGATCGTCGTCAAGGACATGACAGGAAATAATGTACGTGTGATAAATTATTGCATCGAAGTGTTTCATCAATTTGTGTTAGTATCTGCTTTATGCTGCATTTTTTGGTGTTCTTGTCCTGATATTACACTGTTACTCCTTTGTTTGTGCTGAAGGGCTGGGTATTTCCCCTGACTCTGTTGGGCATTATTCCTTTGGCCGAACGACTGGGTTTCGCCACCGAGTAATTTGTTACAGTTTTCACGCTTGTTTGGTGATCCTTGTTGATCTTACTGAACAAACATCTGACACTCTGCTTCTTACTGCAGGCAGTTAGCATTCTTCACTGGCCCAACAGGTCTCTCACTCTGTTGCTCTTCTTTGAAGCATTCCGATCCAAGTAGCATTCGAATTGTCGTTGGCTTGACAGATTTCATGTGCATGCAGTTGGGGGCCTTCTGAATGCTACATTTGGCAATGCAACCGAGTTGATTATATCAATCCATGCGCTAAGGAGCGGAAAGTTACGAGTTGTCCAGCAGTCTCTGCTAGGGTCCATCCTGTCAAACTTGCTTCTGGTTCTCGGTTGCGCATTTTTCAGTGGAGGGGTCACTTGTGGCAAAACTGAGCAGAATTTCAGCAAGGTGACCATTCTTGTCTGTTCACAGATTTGCACAATGTAGATGAGACATGAGAGTGATCATTCTGTGTTCTTGTTGCAGTCAGAGGCAGTAGTGAGCTCTGGGCTGCTTTTGATGGCCGTATTGGGGTTGCTGCCTCCTACTGTGCTGCATTACACTCATTCAGAAGTCCACTCTGGAAAGTCAGGACTAGCCTTGTCAAGGTTCAGCAGCTGCGTCATGCTTGTTGCTTACGCTTGCTACATCTACTTTGAATTAACAACCAGTCGCCGTCGTGAGGAATCAAATGAAGTAAATAATGGATTGCCCATACTTATATGCATAGTTTTTCAATGATGCTTTACTGGACTTTCTATTTCTCCGTACCTTCTTTTTCAAGTTTCTGAGTTACATATATGCATTTGATGGGACCAGGGAAGAGGTGAGAATGTAGGGGATGCCGACAACAATGAAGCTCCTGACATTTCAAAATCGGAAGCCATTGCCTGGCTTGCAATTTTGACAATTTGGATCTCAGTACTCTCTGACTACTTAGTTAATGCAATCGACGTAAGCTCTCTTACTGATCCACTAGATGATTACACACACCTTTTTTCAGTTATGTTGCTTATTACTTTTCTTAAAATGAAAATGATAATATTAACCTTGCAAATTTATCAGGGGGCTTCCCAGGCCTGGAATATACCAGTTGCATTCATCAGTGTTATTTTGCTTCCAATCGTGGGGAATGCTGCTGAACATGCTAGTGCTGTCATGTTTGCAATGAAAGACAAATTAGTAAGAGAAGCTTAAAATTCTTAACAGTCCTTCCTTTTGCACAGATCACATAAAGTTCTTGTATTTCTCTTGTAGGATCTTTCCCTGGGAGTTGCAATAGGGTCATCAACACAAATGTCCATGTTTGGGGTAGGTTGGTTGAACCGTTTGTGCCTTACTGGCATTGATCTGAATTTATCAGATATTGTTTTGCTGACAGATTGCTCTGCATCTCATTTTGCAGATACCATTTTGTGTAGTGATAGGGTGGATGATGGGCCAGCCGATGGACTTGAACTTCCATCTCTTCGAGACCGCAAGCCTCTTAATGACGGTACTAGTTGTCGCGTTTTTGTTGCAGGTACTAAAATCATGTACCCTTATTCGTCGACACCTGTCTTGCTTTTGCGTGAATTCACTCTTCTATTTTCCTCTGAATTTCCAGGATGGGACTTCAAATTGCTTAAAAGGGTTGATGCTGTTTCTATGCTATCTGATAGTAGCTGCTAGTTTCTATGTACATTCCGACCAGGATCCTGATGGTAAGTTCTTCACTACCGAACTTCCTGTGTTTTAATCTTTCAGATGAATATTTGTGCTGCATGAATTTTCAGTTGTTAGGCATTTAGCTACAAACATGGTTGCTCTATTGATACTATTTCCATGAATCTCAAACTACAAATCCAGTAAGAAAGTGAGAAAGATCAATATTGTGGTGACTTTGTACAATTCACTAATATTCCGAAATTTATACCTGCAGGTAATAACCCTGCACAAAACTAGGAGTACTTGGATGATCCCATGGATTCTACAGAAAGATTTCTACCATGTGACAACATTTGCAGTCAGGAGCCAGGACATGGACTATTTATGTTTTTGACTAATTTGGCAGTGTTTCCTCACATTTAGATGTCTTTCAAATGCACCCATTCTTGAAACTCTTTTTGGAAAGCCACACATCCAGTTTTGTAGAAAGGCATAATCAAGGTAAAAATATATATTAAGTTGTGTAGGCTGAAGTATTCTTGCTATTGTACCAGCAAAGAAAGAAAGAAGTTGAAACAATATTTTAGTTTTGGTATTTTTTGTATACCAACTAATCGCAGCAAGTGCAGGTATCATCATTACGTAACATGTAAGATCAACCAAACATCCGGTTCTCAACTTATTCCATTCCATCAAATTCTAAACCCATCGAAATTGCCTCGACTCCTTAGAGGCTTATATATATACTCCCTCTGTTCACCCCCTTCATGTTCAAATACTGGCTCCGTCCCTGATTAAGGAGTTGTATTTTAGAGAGAAATCCACGTTAACCCCGTATGTAGGGTTCACATCGCAACCTCAAACTTTGATTTAATTCAGTTTATCTTGCATGCTTAAGACGCTCACGAGCCTAAACTGGGAGCAATGCGACATCAATGTTTGAAATAAAACGCTACTTTAATTACATATGAGAATATCTTGTTTTTTCAATGGAAACAGAACTAATTATATACAATGGCTAAGCTAGAACCTATTTCAGCATTAATGGATGGACCTTATCATAAGGTATATCCAAGAAAAACAGGATATATGCAATTGCAAGCACTAGAACTCTACATGGCAAGAGGGTCAAAGCATGCACCATGATTGTTCATCATGGTTCACTTTCAAGATCAAGTTGTAGCTCTGGCCTTCTGCTATCCATCTGCGAGTTGTGTTCTATTTTGGTGTCTGAAAGTTTACGCTTCAGCGACGGAGCTGAAGTGGTGTTGACCTCTGTTTCCTCCTTTGGTTTCGGTACCGGGGATTTTCTGGCCTTCTGTTGTTCTAGTATCTGCTGCAAATATCTTGCATGCTCCTCTATGCGCAGCTGTAATTTCCTTTGCACCTGATGGCCAAAACAATAGTGTTAACACTGCTGCTAAGCTACGAGATTTTTCTAAATATAGTAAGTTCTGTGATGACTAATACAAATAATTCTTCTTATCAAATAGGTAAAGCATAGATTAACAAAGAATGTTGACAAAGGCTTGCAAAGATAAGTTGCAGTATGCATATAGATTAACCAAGAACTGTTTCTGAACCTATCAGCATCTTCTTCTTATCACACTGTTACCTCTAGTTGCTCATGGAGCTGTTTCTGAACCTCCATTTGCATCCGTAGTGCTTCCGCCATTTGAAAACTCCTAAGAAATGGAAATCGATGTGAATTTTGATGACACGGTTTGTGCATGCCCCTCATGCTAACATAAAAGGAGATAGCAAGTTCTGAAGAGGGAGATACTTCTTTTTGCCAGAATCAATTCCAGGTGCTGATTTTGCCTTGTTATCTTCTGAACAGGTTCTCTTCACTACATTTACATGGAGCCAAAAAAACTAAATGAGAATGACAAAATTACAACTCAAAGCAATTTCATGAGAATGACAAGATTATGAATGAAAACAACTGCCACTATGTCAAATATTCAGAAATTATTTTACACTTAATCTGTACAGATTTTCCCTTCACCTTAGTTGTCTTACCTTCTTTTTTCTCCGGAATATACTTCACATGTCGATAGTTCTGCATTTTGAAATAACAAGTGGTGTATAAACATCGTAATGTGATGATATGTTTGTGAGTATGCATTTAAAGATATTTGGCCATTTACCTGCAAATGGCTCTTTACGTGAAAGATTGTCAAGCCTTCTACCTTCATAAGCTTCAGCACACCCTTGGGAGTTGCCTCTGCAAGATATATACATGGAACAAAACGTCTAATCGACGGTTCTATTTTCAAGAAAAAATTACCCCAAAAATTTAACTAGAGTGGTCACCCTACTTTCCGGTCCTCCGAGCTTTTTCAGAGCCTCCACAAAACGCTCATGGAGCTCAAGTGTCCATCTCATTCTCGTTTTGCTACATGCTGTAGCTCCCGATGATGATGGTGATGAACTCAACTGGACTTTGACCGGAGAACCCCCACTGCGCAGACCCTCATGGTCAGATGAAGGCGATACAAGAATAGGCGAGCATTGCGGCGGTATGCCATATATGTCCTAAGCAAGAATGAATTATATGGGAAATGACTAGTTAAAATCTGAACTTAGCCATGATAAAGGCGCATGTGAACTCAAGAAGCTGGTTGAAGAAATACTCGGATAATGCTGTTAAGTGAAGGATCAACTATGGAACTAAAGGTACTCACATCTAACCGAGGGATCTCCTCGTTGTCGGTGATGGCAATCCCAAGTTGTTCAGACAAGAACTGAAACTCCAGCTGCTCACTGAAATCCATGGCATTGCCTCCTGCACGGAAGCTACTGTCAGAAGCGTTGCCGGAGAGGTTAAGGAAGTCCTTGAGATCAAGTGGATGTTCAAGATCACCATGAACGCCAGTGCTCAGATCAGCAGCAAACAGCAAAGAAGAGCTCAATGATTTTGCAGCTGATACCTGCTGCTGCTCACATTTAGAAGGATGGGGCAGGAAAGAAAATCCACTGGGTTTTGTCGACGACGATGAGTACATGCTTGTGCAGAATGTGGAAGAGCTGGATGAATTCGGGTCTGATAGGTCAGCATACGAGACTCGGGAAGTATCATCTGCCGAACTGTAAATATCGGATTTAGCATTGAACATTTGATGGACTGAAGGTTGTGGAGCATTGCAGGTGTGAGCCCTGATGTCAGGAGCAATGATATGTTTCATAGGAATTACATTCTGTGTGCTCATTGTGCCTTAGAAAATGAGAATTGAGATGGAAAGCTTGCTCCAGTCCAACCCTACAGCTTAAATATCCAGTCAAGCACAATATAAGTTCCAAGGCCTGTCAAACAATGTATTTCAATATGTAAATGAAAAATTGTTCATATATATGGTTGCAAAAAGTCTAATCTTGTCCAGTAAACATCATTTATGCAAGAAAAACAAAGCATTATTTGATTTGGGAGTACTAGTCTGTCAATAGAATGATCCATATTGGCCTAACAAATATGCTAAAAGAGTGTACATAAGGGACATAAGAATATTCCTAGATGATTCAGACCCTTCAATAATAGCTACTCATATTTCAGACGTAATGATAGTTTGCTTCCTATGATTGCAACGGCCATGTCTGGAACTTCTTTTCACAAATCATGAAATCAAACTCATGTTTAGGGGGAAAACATAGACATTCCCTCTGTTTTTTACTTCTCTGGACATTAGTTTTGTCTCAAGTCAAACTTCCTAAACTTTGGTCATGTTTATAAAAAAAACTATTGACATATACAATTCCAAATCAATACCATTAGATTCATCACTGCATATATTTTGACATTCGATATTTTTATTGTTGTGAATGTTCCTATTGTTTTCAATATACTTGTTCGAACTTTATAAATCTTCGCTTGGGACAAACAGATAGATGCACTTATGCAAATTTTAAACTCATTAGAAAATACATAAACCCAGTTCCAAACTTGACTAATCTTCTTCTTCTAGGGAAGATTAAAGCTACCAAAACTCGGCTGGGGCTATTCCCTTCTCCAAAGAAAAAATGCTACCAAAACCTGATGATAGTTCCTTCCCATAAAGCAGGACAAAATGAAAACACAGAAATCGAAAGGGCACATGAAACATGACACAAGAAATGGGCAAATTTCCTTGGAAGTACTAGTCTGTCAATAGAATGATCCAGATTGACCTAAGAAATATGCTAAAAGAGTGTACATAAGGGATATAAGAATAATTCCAGATGATTAAGACCCTTCAACAATAGCCACTCATATTTCAGAGGTAATGATCATCTGTTTATGATCGTTTGCTTCCTATGATTGCTACGGTCATGTCTGGAACTTCTTTTCACAAATCATGAAACCAAACTCACGTACCAGGACAGAAAATAGACGCTCCCTCCGTTTTTATTTAATCTGGATATTAGTTTTGTGTCAAGTCAGACTTTCTAAACTTTGATCAAGTTTATAAAAAAATTGACATATACAATTCCTAATTAAGTCCTAATCACTGAATATATTTTGACATCAGATATAAAATTTGCATAAGTGCATCTATCTATTTGTCCCAAGTGAAAATTCATAAAATTCTATAAACTTGGTCGATTTTATAAACTTTCACGTGGAACAAATAGATGGATGCACTTATGCAAATTTTATATCTCGTTAGGAAATATATAAACCCAGTTCCAAACTTGATTAGTCTTCTGCTAGGAAAGATTTAAGCTGCTACCAAAACTCTGCAGGGGCTATCCCGTTTTTTTCGAAAGAAAAAAGCTACCAAAACTTGATGATATTTCCTTCCCATGAAACACGACACAAGAAATGGGCAAATTTCCTTTGCTGCGGGGAGAGAGCGCGGATGAGCCATTAACATTCCAAATCAACAAGAACACAAGGCAGAATTATTTGACCAGGAGAAGAGCACAAATAGGGCTGGATCAGTGCCGAGAAATCCATGGGAATGCAGATGGAAGCTTCATTTCATACCTGAAAATCCAAGAGGAGTCTGGTCTCTGGAGGAGGTAAGAGATTCGGAGCCAAGTCAGCCGCCAATCCTCCTCTTCCTCCTATGAGCTATGAACCCTATGTCTTCTCCCCCCCTCTCCGTGTTCGTCCAGAAGCTCCCTGTGTCCCTCTCTCTTGCTATAAATTAGGCCTGTCTCCTACCTTTTCAGCACATCATCTTAATTGGACGCTTGATTGCCTTGGCCGTCCTCTCACAACTCTCTGGAATTAGTTAACAATATGCAGCTGCTTTCTCTTGCCTTTGCTGCTGTTGTGCTCTTTCTTACTTGTGGTACTGTCCAAGGTTTGTTTATCTGTCGCCACATTTTAATCATGCATGCAGCCGGCTGGGGGCATGATACCATGATTATTTTCTCCGGGTAACATTTAATTGTTGCACTTTTGTACTAGGTTTGTTTTACAGGGAAAAAGGAGAGCAATGCTATCTAAGTTGATGTCATTTGCGAGTTGAGTTTTTCTATCCTAGCAATATTTGTACTACCAAGTTTTGTCAACTTACTTAACTTCTGAACAAAGCGACATGTTGACCTGATCATACGATGCAGCACAGCTAGCTAGCACGGCCATTGATTAGATGGGGAAATTAAGGAGGAAGCACACGGAGCAGTCGCTTGTGTTGTGAGACCACTTGTGGTTGACCAACTTATTATTACAACTACTCCCTCCGTTCGGAATTACTTGTCGCGAAAATGGATATATCTAGACGTATTTTAGTTCTAGATACATCTATTTTCAAGACAAGTAATTCCGAACGGAGGGAGTAGTAGCTAGGATTACTGAACTGGTTTAGCAAGGCCGTGTGCAAAACGTAAGCACCGGGTGATATACAAGCAGAAGATCGAATCTGGGCTATCTCTGAGGGCATATCCGGCACTCGTATTATCATCATCGTTGGTAAATATGCCACGTAGACTGCTTTGATCATGTGACACAAATTAAATGTAGACAGAGAAGGAAGCCGTATCATCCTGAACCAACGTGCTGACAGTGGGCACAAGCTACAAGGTAAATTAGCAACAAGGATTTTGATGTTGAGGATGCTCGTAGTGGGAAGTATTATATACTAGTATCATGCATATTGTTTTGCATGACACAAGTAGTGGAACATTTATTATGACACTTTAGCTACTCGTAAGTTGCATGAATTTTAAATTTGAGTTAGTTGATTTCTTGACCGTTGATTTTTACCTAAGATTCGTGCAACGTTTTTTTTCCTGGCTGTTTTTTTTGTTTCTTTTTAGATTTGATTTGTGTTGTTTGTTTTCTGAGGGTTAAACCAAGCTCTATTACTCAAAGTCCACATGGTGGAATACAAGTCGGATCATGGGGTTGCCCTAGCCAGACATGTATTGCCTTTTTTTACTGACCCCGTATTTGGTATATAGAAGCCCATTAACTGTGTGATCCAGCCCTCCTCTCTCCTAGTTTGTTTATTTTATGTTTTTTCTGTTTTATGTGTTTTTGCTTTTGTTTTTCTTTGTTAGCTGGTTTTATTCTTTTTTGTCGGGATTATTAGGATGTTGGGTGAGTGTAAATATATACACATACATACTATGCATTATGCGCGAAAATTACACTATTGTATGATTACTGTTTGCATACTACAAAAAGTGCAATTTTAGTACGAAGTTGTGTGTATCTTTCTTCTTTGAAGGGTAATATTATTGCTACTAATTCATTGTTTCTTATTTTGAATTTTTTAGTTTTTGTTTCTTTTTTCAAGGGTAAAACCATTGTCACCGATTCATTCCTTTTTAAGAACTATTTGAAAAAATCCTAGTATTATATGTTTATTCTTGCATATTTTTTATAAATGCATTTTTATGAATATTGTCTGCAAATTTTGTCATTGTTGTTTTAATTTTTAAAAACTTTTTTCTTCTTAAAAGGTAATACCAATGCCACTAATTTATTCTTACTTAGAAAACTCTGTTATTTTGATTTTGTTTAAGTTTGTATTTCATTTCCTTTCTTCTTTAAGGATAATTCCAATGCCACTAATTCAGTCCTTCTTAGGAATCCTTTTTTGTGAAATTACACTATTATATGTTTATTCTTGCATACTATAACAAAGCGTATTTCTTGCGGAAATTGTGTACAAATTTTGGCATTATTTTGGTTATTTTGATTTTGTTATAGTTTCTCTTCACTATATTTCTTCGGAAAAGATAGTATCAATGCCACTAATTTATTCTTCCTTAGAAAACTTCACTACTATGATTTATTAGTTTTTTTCTTACTTTTGGAAGTGTAATATAAATGCCACTAATTCATTTATTCTTAGAAAACTTTATTATTTTGATTTTTTAGTTTTTATTTCATTTTCTTTTTTCTGAAAGGGTAATACCAATTCCACTAATTCATCTTCTTAGAAAACTTTATTATTTTGCTTTCTTTAGTTTTTATTTTATTTTCTTCCTTCTGAAAGTGTACCAATTCCAATAATTTATTCTTCCTTAGACAACTTCATTATTTCCCTAAATCATTCATGCATAGAAAAATTCTTTCTGCAAAAATTCCACTATTATATGCTTATTCTTGCATATTTATAAAAATGCGCAATTCCTGTAAAAATTGTGTGCAAATTTTATTATTATTCCTTTTTCTTTCTTATTAATTTGTAATACCAATGACACTAATTAATTTTGTCATTTGTTATTTTCTTCTTCTTAAAGGGTAATATGAGTGCCACCAATTCATTATTTCTTAGATAAACTTCTTTATTTTTATTTTTATTTAGTTTTAGTTTAGTTTTGTTTTTTAAGGGTAGTAGCAATGCTACTAATTCAGTACTTATTCGAAAGCTTCTTTTTCCTTGAAATTCACTATTACATTCTTATTCTTGCATATTGTAAAAAGCCTAACTTTTGTGTAAATTGTGTGCAAATTTTGTCATTATTTACTTTTCTCATTATCTTTGTCTACTATGCCATTACCTGCTTTCGAGAGAGATGCCACTAGTGAACCTATGCCCCTCGGGTCCATTCTCAATCAATACAAAGCTCCTATAGAATATGCTCTTTTATTTTCCTTTACTTTTTGTTGTTTTGCTATTATCACTATCTATTTGCTTTTAATCATGTAACTAGCAAGACAAGGGGCTTGACAACCCCCTTGCCAAGTTGGGTGCAAGCATTTGTATTGTGTTGTGTGCACGTGTTGTTTACATTTTTAGCTTGGTGACTCTTACTGGTTCGACAAACCTTGATT